TGCCTCAGCATTTGCCTAAGTGATCCAAGGAAACCACAGAAAAACTTGGACCAAGGCAGACGGACCCGGAATCGAACCGGCGTCCTCCCGAATGCTAAGCAATGGTCTAAACCTCTAGGCCATGCCGCTCGGTATTAAGTTCCGAGAAGCTTCCGTTACAAAGATGCGGTACCAAATGCAGATGCGGATGTGACAATGTATGCGGAACTTTCGTAATTGCGGAAGTGGCAGCAGAGATCTGTTGCAACACTACTGTATGGCGCCTTAAGATTAAATGAATGTCAAAATGCATCCGGTACAGTATTTTATACTTTCTGATAATCGCTGAAGATTTAGTATGTAAAATTGCAAAAAGTACAAGCCGACTTACCATGTCATATTCTTCTGGATCACCAACCATTCCTTTCATTCCATATCTTACTCCCTCTTTCGCCAACCTTCCAGCAAATTCTTCTGCCGTACCAGTTTGACTACCATAAAACACCACCAAACTTCTTCCTGATGATCTTAACTTTTTAATGAATGAGTTGTCTGTCGGGGCCTGAAGGGGCGTCATGCTGGCAGGCCTGGAATAAGTAAAATGTAACAATTTCAAGAACATTGTAGCTTGTACTAGTTGTTAATAACCATCAAATTAATATTATATGACGATTTTCGCATTAAGGGTGACACAGATGTCCACAAAATTATTGTGTTTTATTTCTTGAAGGCAGTGGCGTAACAAAAGGGGAGTGGGATGGCCCGTCCTGTGTCCAACGCACAGGGTGGGGAGATGTACTAGACACTAAATGTTCATCTTTGTATGGGATATTATAATCTCACGCCGCTGCTTGAAGGTAAAAAATAAATGCGAGTTGATGACAAAGCTTAAAGTGTAAGATGTACCCTTTAATACATTATTAAGATGAACATTATATTTTAAAATTAACACTTCAAGTAGGGTTCTTGAATAAACTAGCCTAACCCGTCAAAATTATGATGGATGGTGCCGTTGTTGTCGATCGATATTGATCAGTTATACAATTTTAACCTGTACCTTAAGGTCTGTCGGAGGGCGTTAGCCACAGCCACCTTACATCCTATCTATGAACCCATGGCCGAATATTGACATTTAGACACGTACAATATGTCGAAAAATTGGTGATTTTCAATTAAAAGAATAGACACTTACTGAATGGAATATGTCTTCCCATTTAAATGAGATTCTTCCTTTGGTTTCTTTTTTAAAAGCCACCATGCTCCCACTCCCAATAAGGCAGCTAATAAAACAATGTCTAGTGGACCAAAAAGTGGTTGTGAAGCCTCTTGAGGAATCTGCTGCGTGCCGACGTCTGCTTCGGTCTCCATTATTGAGAACTGTAATTAAGAGAGAAATATTTAAATCAAATAAAAGGTATACAACTGTTAACCGTTGCACCGCGCAAGCGATGCGCGGTGAATCGGTCGGGCATCGACCATGCCTAGCAGGTGCCTATACAAATTTCCATTCCTATTCTCATTTTTTAGTATTTATTAGTTAATGCCCCAACTTTATAATATGTTTATAAAAACATTAGGCGTACCTAGTCGTAAATGGAAATTATTTTTAAATATTACACGACATGATAAAAATTAAGCTACTACGTCTGATATCGTAATAAATGATTCACTATTTTAATAAAATATCACCTTATTCATAAACAAAATAATTATTACTTACACGAAAAAGATAAGTTATATTTAGTTAGGATGTGGTTTCAAGAGTGAAAAATTCTTCATTCTAATTTACTATCTAAAACGAGTGTTCTACTTAAAACCTGATAAATATTTCTGATTAATTTGCAATACGTGCACATAAACATGACCAAACTAATAATAATATGTATTGTACTAGTTACTGTAACATAATCCTTAATAGAATAATATCATGACTCTTTGAGGGTACTTAGTAAGAGCTACTTTTAAAAAATTGGGGGGGTGGACCTTAAAATTATTTGCAAAGACTTGGCCGGAAATCATTATCATCTTTAGAATTTTAAATAGACTATTCTGATTTTTTTCCATTTGATCCAGGTATTTATTCTTTACCAACGTTTTGAAATTAGAGTGAGTTAATTGCGCTACCTACTTCAAATTTGAAGTTGAATTACCCTGCTTAGGAATTAACAATTAATTAATACAAAGAAATGAATGCTTTACAACAAAAATTAAATTTTGAGTGTAATTTTTAAACGTTTTTTTCTTCATTTTTTTCTATTGTGATAAAAAATTCGAAAGACTGTTAAAGGTGTATGTCTGGAACTGGGCGTTGCACGGGTGCGAAACATGGACCATCGGTGTGGTGGAAAGGAAAGGTAAGAAGCGTTCGAAGGGGATAGAGAAGGTTAGAAATGAGGAGATATTAGAAAGAATAGGAGAACAGAGGTCATAATATATAATATAATAAGTCAATAAAAAATAGGCGAGATAGGTTGGCAGGACACCATCTCAGGCGTGAGGGGTTGGTTAGTTGAGACATATTATAAGCAGAAACAGGAGTTAAGAAGATTAGGGGTAAATCTAGATTAGATTACTGTTCACAAATAGTTAAGGATATGAGATGTTCTAGTTTTAGGGAAATGTGAAGATTAGCACAGTATAGGAAAGAGAGGAAAGTGCGTATCCAACCAGTCTTAGGACTGACGACTTTATGATGATGACAATGTGATGAAAAATGACGAAGTGACGGTTTTGTGATGTATGGTGATCGATCACTAAGTCGATATATTATATTAATTTTAGACGTAAACTCAGGACGTTCTTTACTAACTACAGCGCCGCGCTACTTTAACAATCTCTTTTTGAAATTTCTAAATTAACCGGTCGCGAGCGTAGAGGTGATTTCTTTTTATTGAACTAATAATTAATTGAAATGATTTGGGTTTAGAGAAAGATTCGACGTAAGATTGTAGGGAGTGGACTATAGCCATAAAAACTTAAAAGTGTTACCTTATTTTAAAGAAAAATTGATGAAAACACAGAGCGGTGTAGCAAATTGTAAATTTTACTGTAGTTTTTGACACACTATGATCAATGAAGCAATTTTACAGATATTTATTAATTTTGTTATTGGTCGTAATTTATAACTGTCTGTAGTTCGTTATATTTTTATAATCAGATGTAACGTTGAAATCTAATCAGTAGATAAAAATAGATATTTTATTTGATGCATTGCAGACCACAGGTGCCCAGTTGACGAGGAAATTGTTTCCGGTTATTGGGAATACTTGAAAACTTCAATTCATACCAAGACCTTCCCAGACATTTAAAATACTACACTGCTAGCAACAAATATCACTAACTGGCGGTATGCTATCTGAAGTCAGATAATCTGTAACGTGGGGTGCTGATGAGAACCAATAAGTTCGAAATCGTAATTCACGTCTCCGTGCCAGATGTTAACATTACTATATCATCGGCAAATTCAAGCGTTCTAATCTTTCGACTCTGTATGTCTATCCCTAAAGATGTCCTGTCTACTTATAATGATGTTTATCGCGTCTTCAAATAAATATGTAAAACTACTTTGAAAATGCATTTGAAATGCTAAGAGATCAATTCAATAGGTATTTTTTCAAAATAATTTTTAAAATAAACTGCTTCTTTTCATTGTGAATACGATACCAAGATAAAATGTAAATTTCTCAAAAAAAAAATGGAATGGTTTTAAAAATAACACAAAAAACGGACAGAGAGACACACGACTGATCCTATAAGGGAGAACCAACATAACATTAAAGTCGAAAAAAAAAAAAAAAACATGTTCTCCGATACATTGAAACTGCAAATGTAAATGTGTACGCACAATATCGTTTTATTGAAAGATTTACCACGTTATGTTCAAACCATAGACTTCTTATTGATTTTCTTGTACCTACAAGTAAATATCTATTTCAAGATTTTTTTTCAAAATTTTAGGTTCAGTAGTTTCGGAGATAAAGGGGTGGGAATGGTCAATTTTCATGTTTTTTCTTAAATAACTTTAAAACTATTTATTTTACATTTATAAAAAAAAATATTTGACACCCTTACAAGCCCATTCATTTGATATGTCACAATGTACCGTGTAGAAAACTTTTTTTTCTTACAGGCCCCTCGAAAAATGACCCCCATGTTCAAAATTAATTGATTTACGTTATGCGTCCGTGTTTGGGTCTAGGAAATTAATATGTGTACTAAATTTCAACTTAATCGGTCCAGTAGATTCGGAGTAAATTGACTGTGACCGAAAGACATACGGAATTCTAAAAATGGTGTAAAATCCTTAGTCTAGACTAGAATAAGTAAAAAGAATACTTATTTTACGTATAACATGAATGTATGTGATTTTAATAACAATGGACTAAGCAACCCATCCAGTACACTTACAAAGTAAAGGTTTAAAAAAAGAATTTCTAAAACTAACGGTAAAATACGAGATTGTTTACATTAGAAATCCAGTATGACCCCATCACCGAAAAGGTGATTATTTAAATTACACAATGCTTTGGTTTAAGGCAGGGATTACGACCCATTTTTGCCCATATCATGAGCACCGGGGGTCCATGACTAGTCTGCCTAACAACGTTTAATAATTTACCTTTAGCACTTTAGTACAGTAAAGATATCATTTTTCAAAAAAAGGCTGATTTTTTCAGGGTCAGAGCTATTTATTTTTGTTTTTGGAAATTTTGTTTCCTCTACAATTTTGCCTTTTATAACTTTTATATTTTATCGGAACAAATAAGATTAAAAAAAATCTTTCAACTCCTTACAGACTTCTAGCCTATTTGGGAACGAATTTGATTTTAAGTATATACAAGGCGAGTCATCGGTCTTTCATACACATATACTTCAAAATAGAGAAAAATATTACAAATATGTAAATGTTGTATAGAGTTAAGTGTATAATAACGTAAATATTTTCAAATATGGCGGACTTCCGGTTATACCGCAAATGCCAAGTAACTTTGTTACTTTAAACGGAACTCCCTACTTTTTATTGCATTTTTGAATTCCCTATAAGAAAACAATGCCAGTTTATTAATGTGTATTGGACCTAGGTCGCACACATTTGGAGTTATTTCACGTTTCTTGGAAAATTTGACGTTTGCAGTGTTTGGCCCCATATTAAATATCTCAGAAACGAAATAACCTAGAAGTATGCGGTTTTCATATTCCGTTTCTGGAAGAAATTGCCCATCATGTATAGGTATTAAATGGATACGTACATTATGAATAGTTTGATATTTATCGGTGCCAATATCCACAAATTCAAACAGGTAAAACTTTTTTTTTAATTGAATTCCATATTTTTTCTCGCATAATATAATGCAAAATTAAATTTCCTTTCAACTGATATAGGGGTGTTGATATCTGTGACCAGTAGTTTTTGAGAAATTTGCACATGTATGAATGACCGATTTCGCCTTAGTGAATCACCCTGTATATGTAATTATTATATTTATCGGTGCCAATATCCACAAATTCAAACAGGTATAACTTTTTTTTAAATTGAATTCCATATTTTTTCTCGCATAATATAATGCAAAATTAAATTTCCTTTCAACTGATATAGAGGTGTTGGTNTAACTGACAAACACGTATAATTTTCAAAAGTCGGGAAAAGTCTCATTAATTTTTGCTTACACAATCGTAGGACTTGGTACATATAAACTAGATAACAACTTACCAAAAAAAGTAATCCGTTTGTCACAACAGTAAACATGATAATAAATAATGTTATAATAAATAAAATTAATAAATAAATTAGTAAATGCGTTCACTTAATACGTAACAGCTGTTGCTTCTTTGCGAACTAAATCGTATTGAAGACCATATTTCGAATACAGGGATATTTATACAACACCAATGACAAACGAAAAAAAATATTACAAGTCACAACAGAAATAATTTCTGTAGTCATTCAACGAGTATACAATCTAATCGTACTCACAAATATTATTGTCAATTTTCCGTGTAATACAAATTGAGACACGTAAATGTTTCTTAATGATAACGTATTTATTTACGAAAACATGGAAAAACTTAAAACACACAAAAAAAAAGAAAAGCGGATTACTTCGCGCAATAACAATTGACAGAGGATTGAACTGTACCAGAGCGAGAATGAAAAAATCCATATTTTAGTTAATTTCAATACTAATCAAGTGACCTCTGCAACAACGAGGTCGAACTTTGAACACAAATGAAATGAAAAATTCATGTAATTCCGATTGGCCAAATCGCACGTAGCACGTTAGTATGGTATGTTTTTTAAGAATGTATAGTGTATCTGTTTCTGGAAAAAATGTAAGCAAGTAATGAATATATAATATGCGTAATAATATATTCATTAG